AAAAAAAAAAAAAAGAAAAGAAAAAAGTGACTAAGAGGCAATGAGAGTATTCAAAATTTTATTACCATTTCTTTTTTTTTTTAATTACCATTTCTAAACAATGTAACTTAAATAATACATTGCCTTTCTTCCTCTCCTACCTTACCTATGGTGTGAAATTCTCTAATGGAAGATCTATATTTACCCTATATAATCATCCAGGAGAATAAGAGGAATAAAATCCAGGGTCTTTTTAGCACTTTTTCATCTAGTTAAGGTTTGGGATCTGTGGAGGCTTCCAACCCAAACATTTTCAAGTTTTAAAAAATGCTTCCGGGGCTGGGGATTTAGCTCAGCGGCACAGCGCCTGCCTGGCAAGCGCAAGGTCGTGAGTTCGGTTCCCGGTACCAGAAATAAACCAAAAAAATAAAGAAAAAAAAAAAAAAAAAAAAAATGCTTCCCTTATGCCAGGTGTGGTGGCGCATGCCTGTAATCCCGCACTCGGAAGGCTGAGGCAGGAGGATTGTTACAAGTTTGAGACCAGCCTGGGCTACAAAGTGAGCTCAAGGCCAGCCTGAACTACATAGCGAGAACTTGTCTCAAAAAGACAAAAAAAAAAAAAAAAGCTCCCCATTTCAGAAACCATTTCTACCTTAGGAAAGACCTCCACTTGGACTCTGATCTTCAAAATTCAAAGGAAGAATTCCTTTCTGCTAATGAGATCAATGCTCATGACTCTGAAGCCTATCACAGGACTCCTACACTCAGACAAAGGTCAGAAAAACCAATACTGGCAGCGTAGTTAAGAGAGAATGGTAAGAAAGTTTAGAGTCAGAGCTGAACTTACAGCAGGTCATAATTTCTCAGGGCCTTGGTATTTACTCAAGTAACCTTGACCCAGTCAAATGTGATTATGTTCTGAGATGTCAACACAGCTACCAGAAGTGTTATTCTACTTGCATTAGCACCAAGGATCTGTATGTTTCAAGGATAGAATAATCTCAGACTGAGCAACAAGTGAATGCCTATGGAAGGCACGTCAAAATGGAGAGGAATTTCTTATAAGCAGGTATGATCAGAAATAAGAGGGCAGCTGATAGGAAGGCAGCCTTGGAATTAAGTAAATAAGAGTAAAACTGCTAACAAGAAGCTGGGAAATACGTCCAAGTAAAGTGATCCTGAACTTCACTGTTAGTAGATCAATTTCCTTTTCTTATCTTTTCTTTTTTTTTTTCTTTTGGTATTGGAAATTGAACTCAGGACCTTACGTTTGCCAGGCAGGTGCTTGTGCCGCTGAGCTATATCCCCGGCCCACTGTTAGTAGATCAAAAAATGAAGAAAAGGATTCAATCACTATTATCCACTCTCTGAAGTAGCTGCCATCAAATTAAAAACACAAAACAAAACCAAAAAAAAACAGCTGAAGTTTAATACCTCAGGAACCACTTCATTTCCCTTATTTCCTATCCAACTAATACACGATTCAAAACAATAGAAAACAAAAAGACTTAACACAGAGTAGACTGCAAAGGGCTAAAAAAGCAATAAATCAGTGTGTGTCTTCTTTTCATAATAGGGTGGGAGTGGATGGCTCAGAAAAACATCTATCACTAGCGGGGCATGTTAGTGCACACCTGTAATGCCAGCACTCAGGAAACTGAGGCAGGAGGACCATTGCAAGTTCGAGAGCAGCCTGGGCTACAACGTGAGCTCAAGGCCAGCCGGAACTGCATAGTGAGTTCTCAAAAAGACAAAAAAAAAAAAAAAGAAAGAAAGAAAGAAAGAAAAGAAAAGAAAAAAACATGTATCAGTCTAAATGATGGAGGAACACTTATCTCCACAGTCAAGAAGACCACGTATGCTATCTGGTCCACCCTCTCCAATCAAACCCAGGATCTTACATGCTTCAGAAGCACTTTACCACTGAACCACACCCTGACCCTTTCTCTTACCTTAATTGCTATGTTGTTGGATTCAGTAGCACCACTGGTGAAAATTATCTCACGAGGATCAGCTCCAATCAGAGATGCTACTTGCTGCAAGCCAAGAAAGAGAGATATAAAATGCTAATTCTGCAGAGAGAAATGGGGTTGCGGTCACATCTGGGAGAGAGATCTAGAACAAGAACTCCAATGCATTCTACTAACTGCCCAGGAAGCACTGCATTTTGTAAGTCTAGCTAGGGTCACTCAAGGGACAGATTCAGTTACAGTTTAAATTCTATACTCTTCTAGCCCAAGACAGGCTAATAAAAAAAAATAAATGTGATTTTTTTTTTTTTTTTTGGTCTCTTTTGAGACAGGGTCTCTCTATGCAGTTCAGGCTGGCCTTGAGCTCACTTTGTAGCCCAAGTTGGTCTTGAACTTGAAACAATCATCCTGCCTCAGCCTCCTAAGTGCTGGGATTACAGTCATGCACCACCACCTATGGCAAGTGATACGTTTTTTAAAAGCATTTATTGATATAGGAAAAAAAGTAGTTAAATTATCCTTATTTGCGGATAACATGATATTCTACATAAAAGACCCCAAAAACTCCCACCAAAGGAATTCTAGATTTAATAACCAAATTCAGTAGCATACCTACATACAAAGTCAACTTAAAAATCAATAGCATTCTTGCACACAAGTAATAAACTCACTGAAAGAAAAATTAAGAAAATAACACCTTTCACAATAGCATCCAAAAAAATGAAATAGCAAAGAAGCAGTCTAACAAAGGAAGTAAAAAGACCTTCACATTGAAAAACTGTACTCTGAAAAAGGAGGTTGAAGAGGATATCATAAAAATGCAAAGATATCCCTTGGTTTTGGGTAGGAAGAACCAGTATAGTGAAAATGGTCACATGTCCAAAATTGTTATACAGATTTAATGCAATCTTGATCAAAATACCAATAGCATATCTCACAGAATTAGACAAAATAATCCTGGTTCACTGGAACCAAAAGAGACCTAAAATAGCAAAAACAATCCCTGACTTGAAATTATAATACAAAACTACTGTGATAAAAACAGTGTGGTACTGGCAAAAGACACACCTGAGGATCAATGGTATAGATAAGAAAATGCAGAAACAACTCCAAACACACTCAGCCACCTTATCTTTGACAAAGGAGCCAAAAATCCTCACTAGAAATGAACGGTCCTGGAAAAACTTTCCACATGCTGAAGATTAAAACTAGACTCATCTTTCACCATGCATTAAACTAAAGTCAAAATGAACCAAAGATCTAAATTTTAAAACAGAAATGGTAAATCTGTTGGAAGATAGAATAGGTAAAATAGGTAGACATTGGTGTAGGCAAAGACATTATGAACAAAACCCTGATTGCACAGAAACTATCACAAAGAATCAACAACTGGCATCTCATCTCATTAAAAGCTTTTGGACACCTAAAGAAACCAAGAGAGTGAAGAGACAACCCACAATGTGGGAAAAAATTTTGGCAGCTGTTCCTCAAAGGACTAATATCTAAAATATATAAAAAACTCAAAAATATCAGACCCCACAAATTTAAAGACCAAGCCAAAAATGGGCATCTAAAATGAATAGACACTTCTCAGATATAGAAATGGCAAATAAATATAAGAAAAGATGTTCAATATCACTAGTCATTCGAGAGATGCAAATTAAAACAATCCTGAGATTCCATCTCCAGAAAGTTTGTTATCAAGAAATCAACCAATAGGGCCTGGGGATTTAGCTCAGTGGCATAGCACCTGCCTGGCAAGCGCAAGGTCGTGAGTTTGATTTCTGGTACCAGAAAAAAACAAAAAACAAAAAAAAGAAATCAACCAATAACAAAGGCTGGCAGAGTGGTGGGAAAATGGAACCCCTTTCCACTGTTGGTGGGAGTGTAGACTCTTGCAACCACAGTGGAAATTCCTCAAAAAACTAAAACTAGAGGTTCCATTTGACCCAGCTGTTCCACTTCTTAGTATTTTCCCGAAAGGATTAAAAGCTTCATAGGCACACCCATGTTTTTGGCAGCACAGTTTGTAATAGCTAAATCTTGGAAATAGCCCAAATGTCCATCAACCAAAGAATGGATGAAGATGTGAGATTTTTTATACAATGGAGCACTACTCAGCCATAAAAGGTAAGTTTGAGACATTTCCAGCTAAATGGATGTACCTTGAGACTATATTCTTTTTTTTTTTTTTTTTTTTTCCCAGTACCAGGGATTGAACTCATGACCTTGCACTTGCCGGGCAGGCACTGTGCCACTGAGCTAAATCCCCAGCCCTGAGACCATATTCTTAAGTGAAATAAATCTGACATACATGTTTAAATACCATTGTTTCTCTGGTATGAGAAACTGAAAGTACAAATAAGGACCAAAATGTATAACAGATATTGTGAAATGGGAAGAAAATATTCAAATGGGAAGGAGAACTAGGGAGAGGAAGGGGGAAAGAAGGAACATGAAACAAAAGAATAGAAAGAAAAAATGGAAACAAAGCTTTTGTAAATAAGGAGGGGAAGAGGCTCAAAGGGAAGAGAAAAGGAAAAACAGAAAAAACAAGTTATACCATGTACAGGTACAAGTTCTCTATAATGATGTTATCAGTATGTATATCTAAAATGTACCAATAAAGTTTAACAATGTAAAAAGAAATGTATATAGCCAGATATAAGGAAAAAATGCACTTATTGAGCTCTTATTATGTATTATATTGAATTCTTACTATGTGGAAGTGTTGTGTTAAACTTTTTTTTTTTGGTACCGGAAATTGAACTCAGGACCTTGCGCTTGCCAGGCAGGTGCTGTGCCACTGAGCTAGATCCCCAGCCCTGCTGTGTTAAACTTAACCAGCACTGTCTCAATTCACAATAATCATACAGAGCAGGATCTAATATACTCTCCACTTGAAATGTGGGGAAATTGAGGCTTAAAGAAATTAGATAATTTATCCAAGGTAATTTAGCTAGGGAATGTGAGAACTAATCAGATGCCTTCAGTCAAACTCCAAAACTGCTCTCTGAATCTCTTCTACAAAGTACCCAGAACCATTTTCGCCTCCAGCCCCCACCTATCACAAAGGAAATGCCTCCTACAGGGAACTGAACCCGGTAACACTGGAACCTCAGACTCCTCTGTACTAACCTGGCGAGCATGTTCCACAGCAGCCTCACTCTCCCAGCCATAAGCATGTGTCCGTGAGTGTGGGTTCCCATAGTAGTTGATTAGGTAAGGAAGCATGGCATCAAGTACCCGGGGATCCTGAGCAAAACAAAAAATAGATCAGTCTCCTTGATCCATACGCAACACAAGCCCCACCCCACCTCCTCAGACCTGCCCACCCTGCCTCAACATACTGCTAGCCCTTCAGACACTGTCTAGCTTAGGCCCCAGTCTTCTATCCCCTCAGCAACTAACCAAATATCAACCTAATATACTCCCACTCCCAATCTATCTTCAACTGATTGTTCTACCATCCCTTCAGATAGTTTACAAGCATTCACTTGTTCTGACCATTGTTTTGCAGATATTTCCATTCCTAATAGACAACGTGATTTACGAGGGGCCGGAATATGCTTCTGCTGGTCAAACATCCTTTCCAACACTCTGGTGAAAATTGGCATTAATATTAAAGTGAGAAAACTAAACGTGTCCCTCAGAGGTAGTGCATACACTTAGCATGTGTGAAGCCCTGGATTCAATCTTCAGCACCAAAATTAATAATAATAACAACAATAATAATAATAATAGGCTTACCATGTGCCAGGCTGGTTTTTTTCTTCTTGTACTGAGGATTAAACTCAAGGCCTGAGCCCATTTTTTTCTTTTTGAGATAGCCTAGTTAAGGGCTAAGCTGGGGTTAAACTAGCTATTCCCTGGGCTCAGCCTCCCAGGGTGCTGGGAGTATAGGTCTGTGCCACCATGCCAATGTGCCGCGCTAGTCCAGCTAATTATACAGTTACAGCTAATTATCCAGCTACAACTACAATGCCTGCACTGAAAGTGATCTGATGAAGGTTGATAGCTAGTAAGTAGTAGAACCATTTCTAGTAAACTAGAATTTAAGCCTAGTGACTTGTTTCTCCCAGGATAAGTCAATGGCTCTTACTTCCACAGAGATGCAGCCTTTCTGTGAATTTTCGCTTCTAATATTTACTTTCTTTAAATAACCTCAGGGAAAGCTGTCCCTCCATCCTTACCAGAGGAGCTGTAGCTTGCACATCCATATAGAGAGGTCTCAGCCCTGACTCTGACTCAGGGGCAGCGGCTGCATCTGAGGGGACAGCCGACTGGGGAGCATTATCTATAACTGACAAAAAAAATAATACACAGTGGTCAAGAGAGAATGTAGCTATGGATGGACACAGGTCAGAAGAGCTAAAAGCTGAATGGAGGGGAGATGAGACATTTAGGGTATGCTGGGATAGACTATCAAAGGGAAAAGGCAAGCACACAGAAAAAACTGGTAAGAGACAGAACCAGGTTCTTGGAAGGGGTCACTGAGAGCAAGGTTCAAATTGTCTCCAGGGAGAGAGGAGCACTCTAAAGGGAAAAGCTATTTAGAAGTAACGTGAAGACACAGTAGGTGAAATCGCCTTCAAAGGTTACTGGACGCTCACAAGCCTCGATCAGCATCTCTAACAGCTGGCCAAGAGCGATCAGAAGGATGAGCCCCCCAGGCTCTCGGGGCGTGCGGAGAAGGATCTGAGGGGCAGTTCGGAGGCGTTCTGAGAAAGCACGAAGGTGCAAGTGAGAAGGATGAGAGGGTCTGGGAACCGGGCGGGGCAGGGAGGCTCAGAAATAGCCCAGGGCGTTGCAGCCCCAAGGGGAAAAGTCCTCGCGTCCGGGGAGGGTGGTAGCGGGCCTGAGCAGGAGCGTACCACGCAGGCGCAGTCCCCGATTGGGCACCGCGGGCCTCGGCCCCGAAGAAACCGTCACCGACAAAGCCGCCCGCCTCCAAGCGGCTCTTAGCAGCATGGTACCAGTAGCAGAGCCCACCGCGCAAAGTGGCTGCAGTCCTCGGTCCCAGATTCCCGGAAGTACTGCCTCACGCTCCGGAAGTGATCCTTCGGGCCGCGAGCGCCCTCCGCCTCCGTTTCTGTGAGACGTAGAGCTGAACTCCCGAGGCCGCGAGCGAGGTGAGGTGGGGGCGGCCGGAGCCCGGAGGTGTCGCGCGACTTCGGGTCTTCTGCGCGAAGAGGGTGGTGGAGTTGGTCTACGTGCTAATTTGCTTCGTTGATTTTTCCCGAAACCTTGGGCGTGCGCCCCGCCCCGCCCGGCTCCCGGGCAGGCGGCTAGGCCCGCACTCCCATGTTCTTCGCACCCCGCAGATGCCGGTGGCCGTGGGTCCCTATGGGCAGTCCCAGCCAAGCTGCTTCGACCGCGTGAAGATGGGTTTTGTCATGGGCTGCGCCGTGGGCATGGCGGCTGGGGCGCTGTTTGGCACCTTTTCCTGTCTCAGGTGAGGGCTGCGGGCCGCGATCTCTGGGCGGGACTTACCGAGTTCCTCCAACCGGAACTTCGTAGAGCCTACTTCGTTGCCAGTGCCTCGAAGTCTTAGCTAGCAAGACCCGCTACTTGAGCGCTTTTAGCCTGCAAGTGTAGGGTTTAGGAATCTGAATTTTGGAGGCAGAATGCGGTTTTGATGCTTCTTTTAATCGTTCAGTAACTTTGGGCAAGTTGAAGGTTATGTTTCTTCAGGTATATATGAGGATGGTAACACCTGTTTTTCAAATCAGATCAACGATTTGCATAGAATCTAGCACATAGCAAGTGCACTACTTGCACTTGGTTACTACTTCCGTAGTAATGCAAAATGATTCTACTTCTGTAGTAGCAAAATGATTACTACTCCTGCTTTTGTTTTATCTCTGCGTATAAAGAAACAAACTTCAGGGCTGGATATGTACCTCAGTGGTACAGTGCTTGCCTAGCATGCCGAAGGCCTTAAGTTGATGTCCATTACCGGGACGGGGCGCGGGGATAATAAACGCAGCTTGTAAATAAACTCACGCCTGTAATGCCAAAACTCATGGAGGCCAAGGCAAGATCACAGGTTCAAATTCAGCCTTTGCAATTTAGTGACTTTGCCAGAGCCTATCTCAAAATTAAAAAGAGGGCAGGGCGTGGTGGCGCATGCCTGTAATCCCAGCACACGGGAGGCTGAGGCAAGAGGATCGTTGTGAGTTCGAGGCCAGCCTGGGCTACAAAGTGAGCTCAAGGCCAGCCTGAACTGTATAGGGAGACCCTATCTCAAAAAGACAAAAAAAAAAAAAAAAAAAAAAAAAAAAAAAAGAGGGAGAGGGTTACCTTATTGCTTAACCTTTTATCCCACTTCCAAAAAAACAAAAAAAACCTTTTAAGCATTGTGCTAGATAGATACAGCTAAGTTACCAAAACAGTACGTAAATGTTTGACTTGGACTGTAAATTCCAAAATTGGGACTTGAACCCAACTTCCAAATACAAAATTAACACCAGGAAACCAACTAAAAGACAAATGTAGCAGGGCATGGTGGCACACGCTTGTAATCCCACACTTAGGAGGCTGAGGCAGGAGGATCCTTGTGACTTTGAGACCAGCCTGGGCTACAAAGTGAACTCAAGGTTACCCTGAACTGCATAGCAAAACCGTCTCAAAGAGACTGACTAAATAAATATAAAGACAAATGTAGGCATGTGTGGAGGCACATGCCTATAATCCCAGCTACCCTGGAGACTGAGGCAGGGGGATCAAAAGTTCAGGGCAACCACCAGGTGTGGTGGCACACGCCTGTAATCCCAGCATTCAGGAGGCTGAGGCAGGAGGATGGTTGCAAGTTCGAGACCAACCTGGGCTACAAAGTGAGCTCAAGGCCAGCCTGAATTGCATATAGAGACCCTGTCTCAAAATGACCAAAAAAAAGAAAAAAGTTCAGGACAATTTAGTGAGGCCTGTCTCAAAATCAAACAAGCTGAGAATGTAGTGCTCCCTGGTTCATTCCCCCCTTGCAGGATGGGCAGCACTGGGGTTGAGGAGAGACCAAAGTCTATTGGATCACATATGCCCTTGAGGCAAAAGCAAGAGTAAATGTTTTACCTGCCGATGTACTTCACACTGTATCTCCTGCCTCCTGTAAAATTGAAGGGTTATATTCAGCATAACCTAAAGATCCTGAAGGACCCTTTTCTCTTGTCACTTCTTAACCTCTGGTGAGGACAGCTAACTTCTGAGAAGTAACAAATGAGATAAAAGGATTGCCAGACTTTAGTAGTGCTCCCCATAATTTTTACAACACAGACAAGGTGAAGTTAAAACTCGCGACTGTATCTTTGTTCCCCATCGGCCCCATCTCGTTTTCCTCCTCAGGATCGGAATGCGGGGTCGAGAGCTGATGGGCGGCATTGGGAAAACCATGATGCAGAGTGGCGGCACCTTTGGCACATTCATGGCCATCGGAATGGGCATACGATGCTAACCAGGGCAGTGGTTGCCTGCTACATCTACACCTTCCCATCTGTCCCAGGCCCTGTACTATAATAAAAGCTTTTCTTGTCATTCTGAGCCTATTAGTTTTGTTTTTTAAGAAAGAACACGCATTTGCACTTTGTTTTTCCGGTACCAGGAATTGAACTCATGACCTCACACTTGCCAGGCAGGCGCTGTGCCGCTGAGCTAAATCCCCAGCCCCCCTATTACGATTATTATCCAGTTTGGCCAAGGACTGTGTGAACCAGCAGGCTATTGAATAGGGGTGGTGTTTTACGATTCTGCTACACCAAAACAGAAAACTAGAGCATGCCTGGTGTGTGTACCTGTGTGTGTGTGTGTGTGTGTGTGTGTGTAAAATCTCCCAGTAAACTTTGAACTCAATGGTTTTATGAAAAACACTAAATCACCCAATTTCCTCCAAGCTCAAAATACAGGCTTTAACTTGTTCTATTCCCAGTACTGTCCATTCCACGTTGTGCAGTTGCTCCGCTGGCTTCGTTAGAAGAAGTACTATTTATCCTCTTAATTTTGAAAGATACTGAAGAGCGCAAATCACAAATTACTTTCTACTCAGCCCTCTGATGCCAACTTCTGCAGGTTGCGTACACTGGTAATTTGACCTGCACTGCCTCTCAAGTATTAATCAGAACTTTTAAAAAAAAAGTAGTGTTATTATACAGATGAAAATAGACAATTTTTTTGTTTTGTTTTGTTTTGTTTTTTTGTTTTTCTCCGGTACCAGGAACTGAACTCACGACCTTGCGCTTGCCAGGCAGGCGCTTTGCCGCTGAGCTAAATCCCCAGCCCCGAAAATAGACAAATATTTGATCAGAGATTAATACGAATGAAACAACCAAAACAGTTACAATAGCTACAGACTTTCCAGAATGGAAAATTAAGGACATATGATACTTTACTAAAGTAACCATTTTGAAAAGAAATTAGCCGTTTTTCATTGATAATCATAAACCAGTTTTTCTGTGGTGAAAGGCTTATTTTGGTAATCTACCAAAGGACAAGTTTAGTTCCTTACAAAAAAAATCTGTGGGAGGATAGTGACGGAATTCATACCAGATTTTTGGGGTAGGGGACATCCTTGTGGATCTTTTCCTCTAAAAACACTTAACTTGGAACCTCAAACCCTTTCGCAGATTATAAAGACAAAAAAGCTTTACTACCGCTTGACCAAAACAAAGTAATACCTGGGTATGGTGGCGCACACCTGTAGCCCCAGCACTCGGGTGGCTGAGGAAGGAGGATTGTTGCGAGTTCAAGACCAGCATGGGGTACAACGTGAGCTCAAGGCCAGCCTGAACGGCACAGGGAGACCCTATCTCAAAAAGACAAAAACCAAAATACATGATTTTGAGTTAAAATAGTAGACTCGCTGCTCAACTAAAGTAAGTGGAGAATTCCTTTCATACTGTATTTGGTTTTTTTCTTCCAGTACTGGGAATCGAACTCACGACCTTGCGCTTGCCAGGCAGGCGGCTGTGCCGGTGAGCTAAATCCCCAGCCCCTCATACTGTATTTGGGAAACGTGTGAAATCACTTAGTGAAGCATCTCCCAGTCCCCTCAGCAAGATGCCCACAACATGCCAAAAGCCCCAAAATACCCAGATTTAAGACATAGGGCCAACTTTTTTGGTTCACCCTCAATTCTGATACAGTATCCTAAAAGGAACTATGGTAAACTGTAGAGCTAATACAGAAAAAAATTGACAGGAACAGCTTGAGCGCAAGTTTCTCCAGACTGTATATGAAGAATTACTTCCCAAAGTGCAATTACTGAAAAGTACTTCTACAAGTCTAAGAATATGTACTATTCAAGTTTCTGCAACTAAACCATTTGATAAATGAAGATTTTCTGTGGCCTTTTTAAGAGAATTTTATTTGAGTGGTTCTTACAAAGATTTGTTGCAATATGAAAGTCATTTGTTTGATAGAAATATCAAGCTGTCTTGTCAAACACACTGAAGTAACCCAAAAATATATTTCAGAGCTCACAGAGCTTAAAAAGAGCAAAGATTATATGCAACCAGACAAAACCTATTTCTGCATTTCCTATTTCTTCCTCAGACTGCTTAGTTTATCAGGCTTTTACTAAACATCTTCAGGAAATGCAGGGATCATTTTGTTTGGAATCTTAAGACACACCAGAACACATAATATTTACAAAGAAACTTTTACAGATACATTAATTGAAAAGTTACCATCAAGAAATATAATTTTGAAATCTCCCTTTCTTGCCAAATGATCAGAATGGAAGATGAGATGCTAGCCAAAAAGCCCTTTAGCTAACTTGAATTTCCATACATTAAATGTGTATTTTAGAAACCTGCTACACCATGAGCCAAGTATCAACTTAGTGAAATGTAACTGCTGTGTAAAAAGTTAGGCTTTTGAAACATTAAAAACATTACATACCTGTCTGCCCTTTTTACAGAAAGCACATTTGTTCCTCTAGAGCTATTCCTATAGATCCTTAATGTAATTTTCTACATGAACATTTAAAAAGGCAGAACAAGAGAACAGCTTTGTATACATTGGGATTTGCTAGTTAGGGAGAATGAGCACACTGCATTCCTGTTAACATTTTTATTTTCTTCAAGGTAACAGGAATTGTATACAAATGACAGTAG